CTCAGATCTCAGCTTCCTATGTAGCTAGGATTCCAGGAATGAGTCATCAGTGCCCAGCTTTTTATTTTTGTGATCTAAGGAAGCTTCCTACACTTGCTGACATTAATTGCAAGAAATAGCTATTAACTACTTTCACACACACACACTGGAATGGAAATCAGGCCCTTGCTCATACTTGGCAAGCATTCCAACACTTGAGCCATACTTAAACCCTTGTGTTTACATCTTGTTTTTGTGACAGGGTCTTGCCCAGGTGGCCTTTGATAAAGACATCAAACTTGAGTCAGAATAAAATATCATCAAATGACCAAGGGGACAAAACATTTTAAATTACTAGGAATATAACCAGAAAAATCTAGTTTGTAGGAAACCTGTTAGCCAAATAACTTAAAAATGAGACTAAGGGAGGGAATCTGTATTTTAAAGCTACTCAAAGGATAAAGAGCAGGATTGTGGTTTGAAGCCAGCTAGATAAAAAGCAAGGTTCCCCTTCACGTCTCAACCAATAAAAAACTGGGTACAGTGGTTCCACCTATGTGGAAAATGCAAATAAGAGGATCATAGTCCAGCCAAGCCTGGAGAAGACATGCGACTATGTAACAAGCAAAAGGGCTGAAGTGTGATTCAAGTGGTAGAGTGACTGCCTAGCAAGTACAAAGTTCTGGGTTCAAACCCCAGCATTCTCAAAAAAGGCCATTATCAAGAAAGTAAAAAATACAAACCACTTTGTGGAGCAAATATTTGCAAATCAGATATCTGATAGGGAATTTTATAATATTTAAAGAGCTTTTATAATTCATTAAGACAACCTAATTAAAATGAGCAGAGGATCTAGCAGCTGGATGCTCGTAGCTCATGCCTGTAATCATAGCTACTTAGTAGGTTGAGATCTGAGGATCACGATTCAAAGCCAACCCGGGCAGAAAAGCTGTGAAATGCTTTATCTCCAATAAACCACCAGAAAACTGGAAGTGGCACTGTGGCTCAGCGGTAGAGTGTTAGCTTTGAGCTGAAAAGCTGAGGGATAGTGCTCAGGCTCAGAGTTCAAGCCCCATGACCACCAACAACAAAAAGTACAAGTGAGAATGTGTGGAATTATGCCATTAGAGAAATATAAATTAAAATCACAATGAAATACCACTTCATACCCAGTAGGTTTGTATAATCAAGGCAGATAACAAATGTCAACAACATGGAAAAATTGGAACCTTGATTCATATATTGCTGGTATGAAAGTAAAGTAGAGGTCTTAGTTTGGCCAACAGTTGAGGCAATTCCTGAAAAGATTAGTTACCAAGTTATCAGCAATTCTGCTCCTAAACAAGTATCCAGGAAAATACAAAACCACATACATGATATATTGCAATGTTCACAGCAGCATTATTTTTTAAAAATGCAAGTTTATTGTTATTATTAAGGTGTTGTACAAAGGGGTTACCATTTCATATGTCAGGTAATGAGTACATTTCTTTTTGTGGACAATGTTTCCTCCTTTCATCCCTGCCCATAGCAGCATTATTCACAATTGCTAAAAAGTGAAACAATCCAATGAATAGACAAAATGTAGCATATATACACATAATGAAGTTTTGTTTGACAATAAAAACTGATGTAGTATGGTTAGGATATGCAAAAAGACAATAAAGCAGAACTAGTAGCTACTGCTGAGTATAGAGGTACCTTCCCAATGCTTCCAATACCGGTGATTTCACGTCAGGACCTCTGTCTTACTAGGCAAGACTTCTACTACTTGCACCACACCCTTGACTGTTCTTGTTATTTTTCTGATAATATAGCTGGGACTAAATGCATGTATCACCACACTGCTCTTTTTTTGAGATTAGATCTTACTAACTTATCTGGCAGGTGGCCTTCATCTGAGATCATTGCAGCTCCATCTACCATATAGCTGCGATTCCACTTACTTCTTTTTGATTGGGTGCCAGTGGTTTATGCCTATAATCCTAGCTACTCAAGGGGCTGAGGTCTAGGGATCATGGTTCCAAGACAGCCCAGGCAGGAAAGTGTATGAGACTCTTATCTCCCAATAAACTACCAAAAAAGACGTAAGTGGAGCTGTGGCTCAGGTGGTAGAGCACTAGTCTTGACCACAAAAGCTCAGGGACAGTGTCTGGCCCTGAGTTTAACCCCCAGGACTGGTGCAAACACAAAAGAATTTTGAGTGTTTCTTTTAAAAAGTTTATTTTTGCTGGCCTGGAATTTTCTCTACTCAGGAGACTGTGATCTGGGGATAGTGGTTCAATGCCAATCCTGGCATGAAAGTCCATGAGATTCTTATCTCCAATTAACTACCAGAAAGCCAGAAATGGCATTGTGGCTCAAAGTGGTACAGTGGTAGCCTTGAGTACAAAAGCATAGGGGCAGTGTTAAGGCCCTGAGTTCAAGCCCCAGGATTTGCATGTATGCACACAAGTTTATTTTTTAAGAGTGGTTTTAATTTCATGGCCACATTGTACAGAAGGCATAGAGATTTCCCATGTGCTCCCTGATGCCACATATGGGTAGCCTTCCTCATTTTCAACAGCATTCACCAGTGGTTTACCTGTTACAATGTATGGACCTACACTAACATTATCACTACCACTTAGTCTCTTGTAGTTCCTTTAGGGGTGATGAAAATATTCGAAAATGAATTATAGTGATGACTGTACAACTCTTTGACAGATTAGGTGCTTTAAATTAGGTGCTTTATTTGTACAGCGTATGAATTGTATCTCAACAAATCTAGCAGCAAAAAACCTTATGAGATAATTGGAGAACTTTGTAAGAGAGAATATAGTTAGCCCTCCTCTTTGTGGGTTCCACATTAGTGGATCCAATCAAACACATATTAACACTCAGAAAAAAAAATTATCTGTACTATGCATAAGGATTTTTTTTGTCATTGTTTCCTAAACCACATAGTATTAATGACTACTTACAGTCTATTAGGTATTAAAGTAATCTAGAGATGATTTGATGAAAACTGTAAGTTGTGCGTAGGTGAGATGCGAAGATCCCACCTTTAATAAGGATCTTGAGCATTTTTGGCATATTTTGATATTTATGGTGGGAATATATCCTAGAACCAATCCCTACAGATAATGAGAGAAGGCTGTAGTTATTATGGAATTAATGTTTAGGTGTGATAGTGGTAATGAGGTTACCTTTGTCAGAAAAGAACTTTTACCTTTTAGAAATACTAAAATACTTGTGGATAAAACATTTCACAATTGTAACACCACCTATCTCTTTAAGTATCATACATTTATTCCCTAACTGGCTTTGAACCACTGACTGACTCCTCACATCTCAGATTCCTTATTAGCTGAGATTATAGGTGTGGGCCTGGGTCACCTAGCTTAAAAGTAGGGTCTTAAAGAGATATCCACTCTTAGTGAACCAAAATGTAAAAGTAATCACAATCATACACTTATACACAGTGTCATAGCACTCAGCCTTGAAAGGGAAAGACATTCTGACACATGCCACAATACAGATAGGTAATTATTGAGGACATTATACTTTGTGAAATAAGTCAGTCACAAAAAGACGAACACTAAATATATATATATATGTTTTCAACGAAGTACATAGTCAAATTCACAGACAGTAGAATGGTGGTTATTAGGACCGGTGGTAAACAAGGAATGGAGAACTGTTGCTTAATAGGTGCAGCTTGCTTTTGCAAGATGGAAGAATGCTGGAGATTACACAACAAGGGAAATGTATTGAACTAGATAATAAAAATAGTTTAGATGGTAAGTTCTGTTACTATTCATTAAAAAAAAGCCCTCTTTATCCTATTAGCACACTTACCTTCCACACTTGTTTGTCAAAGTTGCTTTTCAGTGAGACTTTTTCAAAGGAGAGAGACTCATTTGTCTCCCAGTGTACCACTCAGTCCAGCTTGACCTTTTAGGGCAAGGTTTTCCTCTCTGGCATGGTTCACGGTCTCTCACCCATTGTGAAAAGGCTGCTAAGGCTCCCGTTATCCTGTCTAGATCCAATCAGGGCTGACATCCTTCCTCCCTGGCGTTCCCGAGTCTGCACAGTGGCCCTCCACCTTCTCGGCACTGGATACCAGGGCCTACTACCCATGGCTTTATTGCTTTAGTTTCGCGTCTCCGCTGCAGGCCGAAAAGTCCTGAGGATTAAACGGCCTTACCTCTCCGCCCCCCCCCCCCCCGCACCCTAGCTGCACGCAGCTCGGCACCGGAGCATCGGGCACCGCCAACCGCACGGCGATGGCCAGGAAGCAGTGTAGATGCTCTCGCCACAACAGCTTTCTCTAAGTCCAGTCACCCGCGAGGGTGCGTTTTGGACGCAAAGGGTGGGATCCTGGAAGGCAGCCCTGCAATCCGCACCGATTCCTATTCTCCAGGACACTCTCCCCCGAGTCACCAGCCGGGAGCGCACCATCCGCGAAGGAAAAGACTCAGAGCCGCTAAAGCTTGCTGGCGCGCAGGCGGCTCCGCTCCCCAAACCCCGGAGTGCCACCGAGGCCTGGTGCTTCCGGCCCCGGAGTCCGCGCCGGCGCGCCGAGGTAAGGGATGGGAGGGAGGGGGAGAGGGAGCGGCCAGCGCACGGCTGGCTACGGAAAGCCGGCTACGGAAAGCCAGCCGGTACAATTTCCTCCGCCAAGATCGCCGGATGAAGAGCGGACCCCGTAACCCAGAAGTGGAACTGTTTCCCTCAGGTATTAGACACCCCCCCATCCCACCCCACCAAAGGAAGTTCCGGCCGGCCGACTTTGTCCACGCTCTCCAGACTCCTCACTATCTTTCTCTCCCGCTTTCTGGTGCCGTTTTGCCGTGACTACTGAGCTCCTACGTTCCCGGTGCGAGTTTTGCTCCCTAAGGGACCTAATAAAAACCCTGGACCCCCTTCCCTTAAATAATTATTTTACCCTACGGATCCCCACTAGGGTCAACCCACTATTCCTCAACGAGGCTTAGCACCTGGGCAGCCGGCTCCCGAAGCCTGACGCCTCTGGGTCGGCGCCTGCGCGGGGCGTTACCATAGAGAGGCAGCTGCCTCTCTGGGCTCGGTTTACACTCTCTATGGTCTAGCGGGGTCGATGGCGGTAAAGGGAATAAGGGAGACCGCACTGCGCAGGCGCAGTCGGCTTCTCGCCTTTTTTTTTTTTTTTAATCCCCGCACCAAGCACTTAACCTCATTGGGGTGGAGAAGGCGGCGGCTGTCCGGTCCGCGGCCGCAACTGTAGTGACTAATAGGGCTGTAAGTACCGGGCTGGGGACCCGGAGGTCTCAACCCGAGACCCCCGAGGCCCTCCCCCTCCCCCACGGCGGCGGGCGCGAGGTCTGGGTGGGGGCGATGTCCAGCGCTGTCACGGACTCCGGGGCGCACTTTTGGGGGAGGGGGCGGCCCTGAGGTGGGAGCGGGGCGGGGAGCTGGGCGCGGTGGTGGTCCGTCCAGTCAGTGGGTCGCGATGCCCGGCTGCACTGCAGAGGGAGGGGGGCGGCTTGTGGGGTCACCCGGCCGGGCTTTGTGTGCCCCTTTCTCTCTCTCTCTCTCAGACCCCACCCCGGGCCCCCTCCGGATCTGAGCCTCCCTTCCGCGGGGCAGAGGCTGGCGACGCGCGGGTGGCGTTTGAGAGGAGCCCGGATCGCCAGGGAGGGGGCTGCGAGGCACCCGCGACAACTAGTCCCGGGCGAGTGATGGGTGTGGAGACGGATCCGGAGAGTAGGGGTGCCGGCGA